GCTTCTGGCGAGCTTCCACCAGCCAAAGTTCACGCTCTACGACGGAAAGACCGATCCATATATGCATGTAAGCCATTTCCGACAGGTCATGGCCGGACATAGGCGAAATGATGCTCTTATGTGCCTAATCTTTCCGTCGAGCTTGGGCGAACTTGGCCTGAAATGGTTCGAGAGGCTGCCAGAGGGGAGCATCGAAAGGTGGCAGCAGTTGGCCGAGGCCTTTGTAACACGCTTCAAAACCAACACCAAAACGCCAAAGGAAGTCGACCACCTTCTCAGTGTCAAGATGGAGTTGAGCGACACGTTGAAGGCATAGAACTCCAGATATTGGGAGACCTTCAATGAGATCTTGGATTGCCCGGTCAACCTTGCAATCACACAATATAAGCATGGTCTCCCGGTCGGACATAGACTGCAGGATTCGCCTTACTATGCACCAGCTGACATCCATGGGCCAACTAATGCAACGCATCAATGAGCACATCCGAGTAGAAGATGATGCGGCAGCATCTACCGCGAAGACAACTCCGGTAACAATAGACAAGAGGTCGGCTGGCAAGGTACACACGGTCAGACAGGAGGCCAATCGTTCAAATGATCGCACAGAGGAATCAGACCGTGGCTCAAATTGCAAAAACCGGGATAGGGGTCGTCGAAATGACCGAGATGACTACCCCCGGGATGACGTTGCTGATGCAAACAGAAGGTTGAAGGCCAGACAGGCATTACTACGGTTTTAAGATTCCAATTTATCGCATACTTAGTGAAATCCATGACAAGGATTATGTCCAGTTTCCTGCTAAGTTGGGCGACGGACAGAAGGGCTTCAATCTGCAGTACCGTTGCACATTTCACTGGGAGCCGGCCACCGGACAGAAGACTGTTTGCCTTGAAGCAACACTTGGAAGAGCTAGTCGCAGCCGGACACTTGGACCTTTACATTGACGGGGGCATGAAGGCGCATCAAGACCCGGTTGATCCGCGTGCATCAGGTGACTTAGAAGCACCCCCACAAGAAGTTGTTATTGTTACCATGGCATAGTAGAGCCGACGCGTGTATGCGAGCTCCGTGGCATGATTAAGAAGGCAGAACACATGAGGGAAGTTTTGTCAGTCCAGCTTGCAATCAAGAGGGGGAAGACCGAAGAAAAAGACATGATCAATTTCTCTACAAGGGATTTGGAGCGCATTCAGACGCCGCACAACGATGCCTTAGTAGTGACACTCCGCGTCAAGGAATTCGATGTCAAGCGTATCTTGATCGATCAGGGAAGCTCGGTCGAGATCAGTAT